AGAAATAAAAACAGAAGTTCCGTAATAAAGGCAAGAAGTATGAGACGGAACCCACTGCAGTCAGTTGGAGTCTTTCCACTTGGATCAGGCTCATTTAAAACACAAAATAAAATTAAATAAATAAATAAATAAATAACAACAACCCTGTTGGCAATAATCACATTTGCCCCCAGTCCAAAATGTCCTGATTGACTGCTAGTTCAGACTTCAGATAAACTAAATTATACTGCGTAACAGAAATCATGGTATTGTTTTTACTGTGCTTTTTATATAAATACTTCTGCATTAATGCAGTCAGTGCTATTTGGCTGGCCTGATTCATTCAACAGCATGGTGACTCTGCTGTTTGACAGAAAGAAATACATGCAAAGTGATAAGTAGAAGCAGCAATGAAATAATTGCAGAAGAGGATTCTGTTTCTAGTTTCCTAATTTCTAAAAGCATAAATATACAGTCTGTCCGTAGCAGGGAGAAGAGTTGCTGAATAAGAGAGGCATTACTAATACGAACAAAATTTAAGCAAAGCAACCAAGAATTTAGCCCTATATTTTTTACTTCTTATACACAAATATTTTCAATTCACCATTACCTGTGATAAATTTGTTGCTATGGTTTTCTGATTTTAAGTTGTGTTCTATTGACAGATTTATTGCCATTCATAACTTCTATCAAATTCTTATCAAAATCCCGGAACATATCACAAAGTCATCTGTTATACTTCTACTAGGCCATTACACGTCTTTGATGAAAAAAGTGTAAAAGAGAATGATTGAAAGCTTAGATATCTTATTATGTTGGTGCTCCTGAGCTATTTTATTCAGATGTTGATCATGCAACTGAATTACAGCTGTTCACTAGATTATGTACGTTTCTCATAAATAAGTAAGTTTCAATTGATCGTTAAGGGAAAAGTGCATGCATGATGATGCATTGCAATATGAACAGCTAAGCGATTCTCTAGACAGGGAATTCTCAGAAGGTTTTAAAAATTAATACGTTAAAAACTCATTGATATAGCCTAAGACTTTCAATAAAAGATGTTGTCATTTAGAATTTTAAGGTTTCTGATTGGCCAGATGATTTCTTTTTTCCAGGACAGTAAGTGAACTAAGCACCTTGTTAGTAAATTGGAGGAGGTGTTTCCACCAGTACACTGTGTTTGAAAATATGTCTTGGATGAACTTAAAGGGGGTGATGCACAGCTTTTGCTGATTGTTTTCTGCATTATCAGGTTGAAACTTGAATTGCTGATCACCTTTCTGTTTTCTAAAGGAGTTGCAGGTAGTACACAGAATCAACGTCCAGCTGTCTGCATTTGTCTACCAGAATTCACTAACCACTTACAGAAAAACAGAGAGAGATATTTTGGGAAGAGGTCACCCTCAAGAAAGAAAAGATAGAGAGTTTTAGTTATCCAAACCCAAACAACTGCACTGATTGTCATGGTGTGCTGCTTATAAACAATAAAACCTGCAGCAAAGAAAGGTGTATTTGAGTTGGTTATTCTAAAGGAGGAATTCTCTCTCTCTTATTTTACTTTATTATTTTACTTTATTTTACTTTATTTTATTTTATTTTATTTATTTTATTTTATTTTATTTTATTTTATTTTATTTTATTTTATTTTATTTTATTTTATTTTATTTTATTTTATTTTTTATGGCGGTAGACACCTCTTCATAGATTTGTACATTCTTATATAACCTTACAGCATTTTCCAAATAGTCAGTGTCAGTGACTAATGGAAAGTGGCTATTTGTTGGAGAGCAATTCAGAAGGGTATAATTAGCCAGAATATAAGAAGTTGAGCCAGGTGAAGTTTGGGCAGATCTGAAGTTGAAGGGAAGTTTGTTTTAAAACTGGTAAGGCAAAATGTAGACCTTCCTAAAGTCTAAGTCAAAAGCCTGCTCTTGCGTTTAGCAGATTTGCGTTGACCCCACAATGAGTAATGCAAACAAAACGTGGCCTTTGGGGCAGTAGTTGGATAGTCTGGAATTTTTTACAGTATTGGTTGGTTTCTGAGGATCTTCCCGCAGATTTTGCTGGGTCTGATTCATCTACATTGATCCTTGTGAGTATAACTGCAGCTGAGAATGGAGCAAACTTCTCAGATTTTGCATCTGTCAATTAGATTGGGAGTAAACTGTGAAGATTTACTAAAATTTAAGGTAGGCCTTTTGTCGTGTCACTATGTACTAGTGCAGGAATGTGTGGGTTTGTCTCCTATAGTATGAGAGGCCCAGAAGAATAGGGTAAAAGGTGCCTGTAAACAGTTACCCCTGATATTTATCCTCACATGAACAATCCAAAACCAGACATGAATGATCCTTAAACTGGAAGTAGTACATTTTCAGATGGATTGTGTGCAAGCAATAAATCTATGTTAATGCAAACCACGGGTTGGCTGCAGGTAAAGACTATGACAAGTCAGCACTGATATTATTTCAAGCATTATTTATAGAAATAAAGTCCTCATTAGAATGGCAGCAGGAGAATGAGGCTTAGTTGGCCATTACCAGCACTTGTTATCGTACCTATTACTGAATCCAGTAGGGAAAACAAGCAGAAGGTACCTTACTGCCAGTGTACTGCCTGCTCTTTTCCAGAGGCTTAACATTTTTATCAATGATGGCGTCAAAGAATCAAAATTGGTGTTTTGCGTGTTTGTGTGTTCATCACAAATGAGGATGTTCTTAAACTCAGAGGAAGTGCAGATATGAGCAGAAATAGCAGTGCACTTCATAAATAGACAGTCCTGCTGGACCGTGCTGTACTGGGAGTGACTTAGCAGCTTTCCAGAATCAACCCGGAGTATTCTTATCAAATTCTTATCAGCCATCATCTGTAACTGCCTACCCCAAATGCCACATCTGAACTAGTTTTGCTTTACCTTGACATTTTCTAATATAATAATCTCGTGATTGTGGCAGATTGGAAAACAAAACAAATAGTCTGAGGAGCAGTAGAATACAGGTTGCCTTATTTCCTGGAGATTTTTTTCCTTTGTTTCCCAAACCCCTCTCCCACCTCTGGTTCAAAAGCCTTCCATCTTCTGCTGAGTGTTGTGACAGATCCCGTGGGACATTCAGATAAGGTGTTCTGTCTGGTTTGTGCAGAGCTTTAAGGCTGGCATGTTCTGGCATGGCCAGCCAGCACATACTTGTCGATTAGTCAACCTGCTGGCAAGTTAAAGAACCACATCCTCTCTAATGAACTTTGTATCTTCAGTTATAAATAAATACTGCTCAAGTTTATTTAACATATACAATGTACTGCAGCCTTCTGAAGCTTTTACATATTTCATTATTCCAGAAATAAAGTAGATAAGCTTGACTTAGCTGTATTCAAAATAATTGAAAAACTGAAAGCACCTGCAGGAAATAGGTAAACAATGGCTGCTATTGTTAAAAACCTATAACATGTAGAGCTTTCCCTGTGTGAGGCCTTTTCAGCACAGAGCACTTGCTCACAGATCCCTTGCATCCAGCTGCAGCCTGGCAGTACTATGGGATCAAGGCAGCAAATAGGATGAGTTATATTCCCTTCAGAATTACACACTTTGGTAAACCAGAACTGGCCAAATGCCAGATCTCATTCATGCCCATGTCTTTGCAAATCATTCTGGTGGCACGTCCTACAACACAAACTCATACACCCTGAGAGTGATCTTCCAAGCTTCTGGAAGCTACTTCTGCCCAGGGCGAGGGTAAACACAAGAAGAGAAAAATGAGACCTCTTAGTATGGAGACAAATTCTTAGATATAACAGGGCTAGCCTTTCCAGAACCCTCACCAATTCCTTCATTTTACAAGGTGAAAAAAAATGTAACTTAAAGTTGATATTTTTGCTAAGTAAACTTTATTTAAGCCTATTTTATTTTTCAGTGATATATATGGCAGTTGAAAAATTATGATATAAACATACAATCTTGGCACACTCACAACCCTATATTCATTATGCAAGTGAATTTCAGAGTTGAAATATTCCTCCTGTTGTATCCATTAATCTTTGGAGCTTGATGGACACGGACACGGACATATCTAAGTGCAGTTGGCCTAAAACTCACTGTGTTTTGATTCTTCCTTTAAGCTAGATAATGAACTTTTTTTTTTTTTTTTTTAATGTTTTGGTTAGCATGTACAAAACAGAAATAGGTTATTTAAATACTTCTTTTTACAATTGTAGGGTTTTTAAATGTCCTGTAATAAGCATTTTCTACTACCTGTATGCTTCCAGTACCTCTGCTTCAATTTCCCACAGGTATCTCTGCCTTATTGGAGTAGAACACTTTAAAGAATGATTTTTTTAACTCTTGTTTAAATAAACTTTAGTTGTTCAGTGGTGGTGGTTGTGTGTGTGTGTTTGTTTGGTTTAATTCTCTTTGTATTTCATTATATTTGTTTCAGATCCTTCTAGGAAAAAAATTGTACTGGACTGATAGAATTTATACCTGGTTGTACTTACTGACAACTAAAACCCAATTTCTTGCCAACCTTTTCAAACTGAAAGAGAGATTGTTGCAGTTATTTAAAGCAGTAGGCAAGCTAACTCTTTTTTAGGAGCAACCTAGCTCAAGAAAACACTTGGCTGTACTAAACTTTCAGTACAATAATAAATATGATACAATAATCTTGTCCCCCTTGATGAGAGGTACAGGAATATATATTTAGTAATCCAAAGAATAAATTCTGTGACATAGAAAAGTGTGGTTGCTTTTGCTTGATAAGACACAGCAAAAGCAAATGTGAAAAAAATAATAATCCCATAAAAATGTTATTCAGTATAATAATATTTCCAGAGAGGACATAGTCCCTGTCAAAATCTTCAAACAACAGGAAGCAATGTCTTTGACAAAATGCATGTAATTAATATTTGCTGTGATAAAATATATCAACGTCAACTGGGAGGGAACAAAAGCTAAGTCCAAAATACAACCAAGGTGGGGTGTGGGAGCAAGAGATATTTGGTTTGAATAGCATGGAAGCAGGAAACCAGGTGGTGTATATTTGTTAAGAGGCTATTTGCAGAAGGCTTTCGTGGGGTGTCGAGCTGCTGGTTGTCAGTTCCACCTGGCAGATACGAGCAAACACCTTCCTCTGGGGAGCACGTGGTAATAATTCACCTTACAAGCTGGGTATCTTGTAGGTGTGGTGGTCATGATTGTGTTTCCTGTAGATTATGAGGAGAAACTTCGCTTTGCAGGGAAAGTACACCAACATCCGTGATGAAAAGTTTTCTGCTTTGCAGATACATAAAATCAGTTGTATTGAAGGTTTGTCATTCTCTATTAGTAATTCTTGTGGCTGTGAACTTCAACACTGCTCCTCTTTTATATTAGTCAGTCTGGTCAGGATTAAGACTAAATCCAGGAAGACTGACATTTGAAGTGGCAAGTTCAAAAAAAAAATAAAAAGATTTCAGGCAGAATCTACCAATATTATTCCTACTAAAGCTAGCTCATTTTCAAGAACCTTCAACTTCCTTCTCCCTTCTTTGTGTGGAATGGAGACAGGGTGCCAAGTTGTGTATATGATGCCATCAAGAAAAAAGGCTGGCATTCAAAGCATGAGTGGGTTCCAGCTCCACAGGCTGGCATATGCCTTTCGTTTATCTGGTATCTGCCTTTCCATCTCAAGATTAAAACAGACTGCTTCTTGTTGGTTAGGATGCTGACTTTGCCCATATGTTAACTTTTACAATAAGCACTGGAGTACTTTCTTCCATGCTGTCAATTCCTATGTACATCCCATCTTAAAAGCCGTTTGCCCACAAAACATGATGAGGACTGTAATCAAGGGGATGGTCCTGTTTCCTATACTCTTTGACAGGATATAAGAGTTCCTTCCTCTCTGGTGTCTTATGGTGTGAGCTCTTTTGAGGGGAGCCCATCTTTTTGTGTGTTTGTATAGTTTTGTGTGTTGTATAGTCTTATCTGCTACAGAAAAACCAATGAGCAGCAGTTCAGTGGACTAATGGCAGTGACGGAGTCCTGTGCTGTTGATTCTCTTTTTCCTACATGTAAATTTGTAAGTGTAGTTCCTGTCATGGCTCTGAGATTGTGGCATCTAGCACTGGATCATACCAGCTGTAGCTGGTGAAACCTTCCTGGTTTACGCCTGTGAACTCTCTGGCCATAGGTCTGTAGCCTTCTAGTTATTCTAGCTGTTTTGGAGCTTACTGTCCTATAGAGTCATATGAGAAAACTATCATTACATTGTCCTTTAGTGTGAAAACATACAATTCTTATTATAATGTTTCCTCAAAGTTCTTCTGTGTTTCTTTAATGCAACCTCAAGTATTTGTTAGCAGAAAAAATTTCCACGTACTTCAGTTTGTGGAGTCATGCGTTATATTTCTGATTTTATCAGGCCATTGCATTCTTTATAATAAGCTGTTTTACAGATTGTGCCATTATCTGTTGCCAATAGGTGGAAGGTGATGCTGTGAAGATCCAATTACACTGCACGGTGAGACTTAAATACAGATGTAGAGGAAGATGGTAATATGAACCTGCAACACCTATCACAACACATTAACTGAACTAGTCAAGTGTTCAGTCTAATGTTGGAAAGGAGGTATCTTATTTCAAAAACCTGTTTGCTTTACTCATGACTGGGTAATAAAACAGCTTGAATGTTAATTTAGAAAAACAGCCTATGAACCCTAAATACTGTGCATACCGGTACAATTGGAACAATATACTTTATTGTTGGAAACATGTTTGGATTTTGGGATGGAGCAGAAGAAGATGAGGATACAGTGAAAGAGCAGGCCAGAAAAAGCAATATGAACTGAATTAAGGAATATTATTTTTTGTAGTTAGGGGGTTGAATATGATCCAAATAAAAATTTACCTGCTCAAAACCATATAACATCCAAATTTTTATTACTAAGTGGTTTTAATTGTCCTTAATTGCATTTTTATACTACTTAGAGTTACTTGAAAAATGGGCATCATGTGGAAGATACCAGAAGAATACACAGTAGCAAAGAGGTCCTAACTCCAAGAACTTAACTCTGCAGAGAGAGGATGGGTGATAAGAACAAGGAAAAGAGGTAAAACACACTTGCACCCAAGATCAGGGTGATGTGAGCAAACATACTGTATCCAATGGAATCTTGAGGGGGGAAATGGTTGTTTGAAAATGTAAAATATTGGGACATTAAAGGGAGTGTGGAGGCCATTGAAAGAATTAGCATCTGACATGCTTATGTTTGGTGAGGCTGACTAGAAAGCTATATTGATGGCACTGTGCTTAGCTAAGCCAAAACGACGAATAGGCAGTTAATGTTCTGTTAGCCAAATAGATCCATCAGGCCTGTCAGCGACCTGACTAGAGGGTATTGCTGTGACAAAAAGGTAAGATGGGTGTTTTTCTGCCTCCTCCAGAAGTCAGTGTTGTTTTTCATCATAATTTCATGTCACAGATTAGAGCAGTTTACAGGTGGTGGATAGCCTCACAAACAGAGCTGAGTCCGTGTTTTGAATCTGTTCATGTATGTTCCCCACCTGTAGTACCCAAGTATAGACCAGATGGGGCTACTTCTTCACAGTAGGCTGCCATTTCCATCTGAATTGCTAAGAATGAAAGAAAAGGACAGAGCAGTGTGACTGTAATGCACTGACAGGATGGGTTGAGGGAATCCCATAAGGGAGAGCTCGTGATCTCAGCCTCTGTGAAGGCAGGTAAGTCTTTGAAGCTTTATTTGTGAGAGGAGAGAAATTATGCTTGCATCACCTCCACCTGAAAGACCATTTTCCTGACCCATGGGGAGAAGCTGCACAGAGGTCAAGTCAAACCAAAAATACATGTACTCTTTTGCATGCCTGAAGTGTCTTCTTTCAGATGGGTCTGCCCGCTTCTAGCTCTGCATCATCCCAGGGTCCTGTAGTGAAGTAATGATCTCTTAAGACATAGCCAACATCACCTTAAACCTCACCTTCAGTGATCAGGTACCTCATGGTTCCCAGCATTTAGAAAGCAAGTCTCTGATGCCACCTTCACTTTCTCCTTTAACCCGGACCACTCCAGGCTTCTTCTTCAATCTTCTCCAGCCCTCTAGCATGAGTTTTAACAAGAATTTTACTGTTGTGAGAGTGCACAGTTTTAACAAGATTTTCTGTTATTACAATGCACAGTTACTCTTCTGCTAGATAAGCAGACCGAGGTGGGCCAATAGAGTTTCAGTGAATCAGCCTCACTTGTCAGTTAGCCTATCTGGCTGATCCCTAGCTGATACAGATGAACTGTCAAAAAACAACATCCTCACCCCCTCCCCCACACAAAACAAAACCCCACAACCAAGAACCGAAAATCCTACACTTAAAGTCTATCAGCCACCTTTTATTTGCCTGTTCAGTGAATGTAGAGCTTGACTTTGCAGAGCTACTATCCCGTTGTAGACTATGCTGCTAAATGAGGAGCTGGGCTTAAAGCATTGAAATAAGAAAATAAAGTAACGGGTGAGGTATTTTCTATTTGTCCTTCCAAGATCAGTGAAACATCAGAGCATCCTGGCCTGATTGCAAAACTAGCCCTTTTGCTCACCCCCATGACTGCCAGAAATTGGATATTTAGTGGGGTTTGGCAGTGGCAATATGGAAGCTATGGCAAGTCGGAGTCTATTTACTTTATGTTGTTACTGAATTACCTGATTCAGTCAAAGGAGGATTTATTACCTAGTTTATGTTGTGGGTAGCTTTTAAAAGTTTATCAATGATATCTACAGTACTGGAGGGTGGCCTTTAAATCATGCGATCTAGTAAGTAAAATCCAATTAAATTATATAACAAATATATACACAGCAAATTATAATCAAGAAAGTCTTATATTTTTTATGTATTTCACTAACTTTATGATGCTCAGCTCATTTGCCTGAGTGCAAAGCTAAGCATTTTTATTTTGTTTAACATGCTCATTTATGGTGTCTGGTGGATGGTGGAAATAAATTAGTAGCAAAACATGTAATGTAAAGGAAATGACCTTGGAATACGGCTGCATATTTAAGTGTATAATAGGACTGTTTTCTCCCTCAAGCACTTCAAAAAAGCATATACTAGTAAGAAGTTAAGAGAATAGGGTTTGGTATACTAAACTGGCTCTGCTGTGTACCTAATCTAGAAGTGGTGGTAAACTTCTGCTCAAGGAAGAGGTTAAAAAAGAAGCGTCAAAATCTGTGACATACAGAGCCAGCTGCTCAGGTCTACACATGGGTAGAATTCCTTTCTAATCTTTGTAGGTGATCAGGTTATGCCCTGACATGGGACCCTGGAGTGCTCCTATTACCCTACGCTGGCTCAGCAGTGAGTGCTTGTGAGTTGCCAACTCATCATCCAGCTCCTTAAAAAATCTCGCAGTCCGTATGTGGTATATTCATGCTGTAGGAAATGTAATGATGCTATTATAAAATAAATCCCTGTTATGTTAAATTGGGTGTCCTTTAGTTTGAAGGGTGGTTCATTACTTCTAAATCCACAAAGCAGGAGCTTGTTTTCTTTAGGAACTTCTTAATTTTCTGGAAATGTAATTTTTTCCCCCAGCTAAAGTATTCTAATGTCCATTATTCTGTATTGTTGGAAAATCTTGGTATTCCACTGCCTTTATTTTTGGTCTTTACTTCTTTTGATCATTTAGTTATATTAAGCTGAAACAACTAAGAGGACTCTAAATGCTTTCAATAAGCTTGTAATATTAATAAGTTAAATCCTTCTAGACAGAAACATTAGAGCTGGAAGAGAGGATTAGCTGTTTGGCTCCAAAGGTGAAGGAGAACAACCTACTGTGTCTAACAATTTACATAAATTATTGTCTTACTTATTTTTAGTTCCACATAGTACTGTTTTTTTTTTTGTTTGTTTTTTTTTTTTTTTTTTTTTTCCTGGTGTAGACATTCTGGCTAGGTTAATATTTTGTACTAAAGGGATATAAATAATAATGTTATCCTTATAATGTTTTGGGGTTAGAGAGTCATCCAGACTTAACAGGCAGGGAGTTCTGAATTAGGAATGATACCTATGTTTGACAGAATGAACTCTAAAGGTCCCTTACAGCTGAAATTTTTATATAATTTCTAGAAAAGAAACAAGAACAACCCAGTGGCAGCAGTCCAGTAGTCCTCTTGTTCTAATTTCCTTGTCTTCAAGAGAGGAGCTGTGGTCTACGGTTCTGGAGGATCTGATTTGGTTCAAGGAATCCTGCGGATCTGGACATAGGGAATGGAGCCAGAGTGAACTAGTGGCAGTCACTGCAGTTATTGTCAGGATCAAGAAGATGAATTATAGTTACCCAATGGTAATACCAAGCTGAATTGAACCAAGGGTAGTCTAAAGTGTAGCTTTTTACGCAGAGGGACAATACAAACCTGAACACCACACACCAGAAAGCAGTGTCGGAGTTCATGTCGCTGATATTACTTGCATTAAAACACACTGGAGCAGAGCTGTATGATACATATGTTGCTGGACTGAAACAGATGTGAAAAAAGAGCCAACCTGAGATAACTCTGTGGGCCTGTGGGTGCAATTCTTTAGTAACTAAATTGTAGCTCAGTAAAGCAGATAGCATTAGGAATGCCGTTATGGCCATACTTCTGTTATACAGTAGATTTTGCTCCTTTTATTGACTGTATGGCTCATAAATTTGTACATTTAATAGAAATATGATTTTGTACCTTCTTTCCTCACTCCTCTTTTCCCCAAGTACTTCCAGCTCTCAGTTTTCTGAAGGCTGGATAAGACAGAAATGTAGTAAATATGAATAACAGACAATATAACTTAGAAAACTGTAATGCAAGATATGATTGGGAAAAGGAGGAAACTTAATTGGCCATGTAGTGCAAAGATCCTTCAGCTGACTCAAGCTGGTAGGCTTTAAAAGTGCTGGAGAGACTACGTTGCTTTTAGACTGAGGCTGGCCCACTCAAGACACTTCAGATGACTCTGCATCCAACAGCAGTGGTTGACCCCCAACCTAGATGAAGTCACCAGAGGCATTCTTAACAGCTGGATCCCTGTTCCCAAAGATTTTCAGTGCCTGTGACTAAGGAGGAGCAGAGAGATGATTTAATTTCTCAGTCCAGTAGCATGATTCTCTGTGGGGACTCCAGTAATTTTTCTTTTAGGAGAGATGCCTTAGCAGACTGCACCTCATCTTTATTGTTCCAATGCTTGTATTAACTATGTTTATATATTGCATCATTAACTCACCTAAGTATCTTTGGATTTTTAATTGCCTTTGTGCTACAGGGATAGATGAATGAATTTCTGGGAAAAGTTCTGTAATCTGTCCTGCACAAGGATTACAGCAATACAATCTTTGACATAATCATTTCATCACTGGCCTTCTCTGAGTTTCTGATGTATCTTATGTTTCTTCCCCTTATGTCTTAGGTTTCTTCCCCTTATGTCTTTTGTTAACAGTACACAGAGCAGATTGCTGTGTAGGACATGACACAGTAGTGTTGCAGAGAACATGAAATCCCCACAAGACTGGGTTAGGATAGACCTTCTGAAGTGTTGTGTGACCGTAGCACCTATATGACCAAAGGGTAGCTGCAGGAAGAGTGTTATTGCAGCAACATGGGGATTTGGGACTGCTCAGACCTGTAAAAGCAGTCTCTAGGCAGTGCTCAGAAGGCTGTTGTAAACAATAATGCTTCCTAGCTGCCTGTCAGTGTAACAAGGTGCTGAAGAGCGACCTGTGCTTTTGTGCCTAAATAAAGCAGATACACAAGGGAAAGTGAAAAATCCATAAAAGGTGCTCATCGCAGCAGATCCATGCAATAGTACCCAAATATATCTCTGCACACTCAGCCAACACAACGCACTCAATACAAACAATTTGTATTTAAAATATTTAATTTTTTGAGAACATATATCAGTAGCAGGTAGTGTTGTAGTCATATGTAGTCATATGTCTTTGCATGAGTAGAAAGCTTTTAATCAGGACTGCTACATGTATAGGAATATAGAGTCAAATTCTTTTGAGGTGTAACTATCTATACGATGCTTAGCTCTGGGAGTCATTTTGTGCTTCCTCAGACCTTGGCTGGGACCAGAGGGGACTGGGGGACAGGGAAATGGCATAAAGCGTAGAGATGCAGCCCACTGGCCAACAAGTAGAGTTCAGCATTTCACAAGCTTAGCAGTTCAGCTTTGACGACAGTGTGTATATAAATGAGCTTAGCACAGTTCCTGAGCTAATGAGCTCTGACTCTTGCTGCTGCACAATACCTTGGGCGCTGAGCTGCACTAATGCAGCTTTGCTGCTCTGTGGCCTGGAGCAGGCTCGTCAATCTTGGGCTTCTGTGTGGTGTGCTTGCCCCAGATCATGTTCAGCACAGCCGGAGCTGGTTTAGGACTGTCTGCACCCATCAGCACAGCGTGGGTTGGGAGTTTGTTTTCGATGTGCTTTGAGTAAGCCCCAGATAAGCTCTGCTTGTTCTGTTCTTTAGAGCTCCTTTGGTAATTTTTGGACAATAAATGGAGTTCTTGGGGCTTGCAACTTACTAGTGTTTGATAAAAATATGTTTTTTTTTGTTGTGTTGTTTGTTTTTTGGTTTTGGTTTTGGTTTTCATTTTTTGTTTTTCTTCTTAAAAAGCTGGGTCGAGGAGACCTTACTGGGTTCTGAAACAGTGATAAAAGCTGGTTTTAACTAGTTCCCCCTTCTCTCCCCCCCTTTTCTTTTTGTCTTCCACCTCTATTATCAGATAGGCAAATGTGCCATTTTGGCAAGGTATCATTTTCCAGTTGATTGCTTTGGAATGCTGTGTGAGAAATGTGCATTCATACTGCAAACCTCTTTAATGGGTAATTGGATAAGTGCAATTTAATGAGAGAAATAAAATTTTTAAAATCAATGTTTATGTAATTCATCTGTCAAGAAATTACCCCTATGCTGTAACATTACATTAAGGGAGACAAAATAAAATAATGGGATGAATATATTAACACATACTGAACTTTTGTGTTACATACTCTTTCTTCATGGCTGTTGGTAAAGCTTTTGCAATGAAGGAAACTTGAGATGGGGTGAATGAGTGTTTAATAGAGAAGGTTCAGTTTTTCATCAGGTCAGATTTTGGCCATGGCTGTTTTGCTAGGAGTGGCCAAGTCATCTTGTCACTGAGATTCAGAACCTCAGATGCTCAACTCCTGCTGTTCACAACTGGACCTGCAGCAGAGTCCTGAGGACTTCTGGTGTTGCTAAAGATGTTGCACTGCTAAGTTCAGATTCCTGCTTATGAATGATCTCTATGGTTCTCTTAAGAAAAATAGAAAATATTCTTGGAATTACTGGAGTTTATGAAAAAAAAAAAAAAAGAAAAAAAAAAAGAAAAAAAAAGAGGAGGCTTAGACTTATTTTGCCTACTGTTGGTGACCTAGGATGCTTGCTTTCAAAGATCAGAAGCAGGCTCTTGACAGAAGGCAGAAGGTTTTACCTGAGATGAGGATAAGTAGAGTTGCCTGCCTCCATAGACTGTCAGTGGAGAGTCCCCAATAGAGGAGGATATTTGTCAGTCTGTGTGATTGCTTCTCTTTCTGAAACCTTGAGGATGTTGCACATTTTCGTTTGATCCCAAGAGTGTTCACTCACTAGAGTGAATAAAACATTAACTCAACTCTTCCTGAAGCAGTATTTCCAGAATTATTTCTGTTTTATACAATGGTTGTCCTTTTGGGCAATGTTTTGCTATTTGAACTAGGGACTACCACATGGAAGAGAGTGAACCAAAGAGCCAGATTTCATATCTTAGAAATAGAAACAGACTGTTATCTGTTGTAATCTGAAAGCAGAGGGTTTTGCATCAGCCTCTCTAGGGACTGATACACTACCCCACTATAGAGGAGGTTGTTGATAGTCTGATAGTTGAGTCATCTACTCAGCATCTCACTGAGAGCTGATTCATTGCCTAGGGAATTAGTTTGTCTTTTGATTCTATGGCAACAAATAAGGCACACTTCTTTCTGAATAAGTGTTTACATTTCAGGACACCTACATTGCACTGCTTACTTTTCTTTTAATGAGAGAAGACACCAAATGTTATTTATCTTGGAAAGGGAAAAGTATTTTGCTCAAGAATATTAATCAAGAGCTTTTTTGATAAATTAATATGAATGCCTTTAGGACTGGTTAACATAAATATTTTTCTTTCCTGCTGACAAAGTGTGGAGCTCTGGAGAAATACATAAAAAATACATTATACTGCTATTTAACAGTGTCTAAAAACTAAAGGGGAAATAGCTGTTTTGTTTTTCATGGTCTATTTAAAAAGAAATGACAAAAAAAATCTAATGTGAGTTATATCTTTATA